AGGGGGGAAGCCAAGGAAGACGCAGGGAACAGCACGGGAGGACAGCTTGTCCGCAGACAAGTCGCGGACGAAAGCTCGAGATCCCCAGACACGGAACGCAGACGCATCACCAACCTTCCCCGTCCACCGCAGAGTAGGGGAGGTCTCCGGCATGGAGACCCGGGGCTGAAGGTTGATCTGATGCGCCGCGTACTGAACCGCGAACGGCCACAGAAAATGGGGAGCAGCCGCATGGATCATGGACGTACGAGCGACGTCCATGACCATGCCAATGCGGCGCTCAGCAATCCCATTTTGCTGTGGAGAGGCAGGAAGCGTGAACGTCTGGCGGATGCCCTCCGCACGACAGAAGGCTCGCAAAAGGTCGGAGGAAAACTCTCCACCTCTGTCGGGGTGCAGACGCAAAACAGGAAAGTCCGAGCCGAAACTCTCTCTGAGCTGGAGACGAGCAGCGCGGACCCAGTCGATCAACACCTCGGTGACCTCACCCTTGCGGCGCAAGGGGAAGACTGTGGTGTAACGCGAGTAGTCGTCAACCACCAGCAGGAAGTAACGCTCAATACCCTGTCCACGGACGCGGGCGGGGCCCCACACGTCCATATGGAGAGTCTGCAGCGGAGCCTCTGTCGGAGGAAACTCGGAGGAGTGAGGAGCGGCGCGCTGCCGTCCCTCGACGCAGGGAACGCAGGTAGGGGCAGGCCCCAGAGGAAGGGGAGGGAGGGACCTGGGGAGACCAGAGACAAGGACACGGGAGGCCATGCCTCGGAGACGAGGCAGGGAGGGGTGACCAAGGCGGTGGTGCCAGAGGAGAGTCTGGTGGGACAGGAGGCGACACGAGCAGGGGGCAGACTCAGGACCAGACCGAGACGCTAGAGCAGACACCTGACCCGACGCAGCAACCTGACCAGACGCAGTAACCAAAGAAGACTCGGTCGTCAGTGTGTACAGGCTCGACCCCGGCTGACGGGTAAACGTGGCCAAGTGTCGGCCCGTCCGAGCACACGTGCAGTGGGTCACTCGCTGACTCGCAGGAGTGAACTGGTCAACCCCTCCATCCTGCAGGTCAGCACCACTCACCAAGTTCGTAGAGAATGAGGGGAGGTAAAGACCTGACAGGGAGCCAGACGGGGCCGCCGGACACGGTAGGACAGTGGAGTAGTGAGCAAGGACATGACCCCCAGAGGGGTCTGCCAGGGAGACAGCAACCGGCCGACTAAGTGGCGTGAGGGTGGTGCGGTCTCGAAAGAAGGAGCGGGAAGCACCCGAGTCAAGGGTGAAGGTGTGCAAGACCGCAGCAGGCGCCGCACCAGAGAGAGCAGACTCACCAGCACCTGGAGCAGGAGACTCACTAGCACCTAGAGCAGCAGCCTCACCGACACCTGGAGCAGGAGACGCACGAGCACCTAGAGCAGCAGCCTCACCAGCACCTAGAGCAGCAGACTGGATACCGGGGTCAGGCGGCACACACAGGTGACAGGCACCCTCAGCACTAGTAGACAATGCATACATTGCAGTGAGGAGAGCATCATAGTCAAGAGCAAAGATATCTACCCTCTGCCTAAGCAGCTCCAGCCAGGAGGGGAGCTCAGCGTCGTCGTCAAACTCTGTACGCCAAGCGTCGCTCAGACGGGCGAAGCAGCGGGACTCTGTGTGACCAGGAGTCCCGCAAGGCTGACCAGTCCGGACACCCGTGCGAATGACGTACGGGCAGCGAGCAGAACTCAGTGACCCTCTACTCTGAGCGTACCACTCGCGAAGCTGCTGGGGCGAAAGGTTCTCGCGCGGACGACGCTGCAGCTGCACCCGGCCACTACAAGAAGCTCCCGAACTACTCACTCCAGGACGACTCCCACTACGGCCACCCTGACAACCCGAACTACCGTACCACTCACGAAGCTGCTGGGGCGGGAGGGACTCATGTGGACGTCGCTGGAGCTGCAGCTGGCCACCGCCAGGAGTAGCAGTAGCAGTAGTAGCCGCAGTAGCAGTAGTAGCAGTAGTAGCCGCAGTAGCAGTAGTAGCAGCAGTAGCAGTAGTAGCAGCGCGGCCACCCCTACAACCCCAACTAGCGTACCACTCACGAAGCTGTTGGGGCGTGAGGGACTCACGCGGACGGCGCTGGAGCTGCATCTGGCCACGCCAGGAGCAGTAGTAGTAGTAGTAGAAAGAGCAGTAGCAGCAGGAGCAGCAGTAACAGCAGTACGGGCAGGGAAGTGCTCACCAGTGGCGAGAAGGGCAGGCGTACGACGGCGGCAACGGCGAAGCCGCTACCACTGCAGGGCGAGGGCTCCGCGGCAGCTGCAGGGGCGGCTGCTCCAGGGGCCAGGGGCGGCTGCTACAGGGGCCAGGGGCGGCTGCTCCAGGGGCCAGGGGCGGCTGCTGCAGGGGCGGCTGCTCTAGGGGCCAGGGGCGGCTGCTGCAGGGGCGGCTGCCCCAGGGGCCAGAAGCGGCTGCTGCAGGGGCGGCTGCTCCAGCGGCCAGGGGCGGCTGCTGCAGGTGCGGCTGCTCCAGGGGCCAGGGGCGGCTGCTGCAGGGGCGGCTGCTCCAGGGGCCAGGGGCGGCTGCTGCAGGGGCAGCTGCTGCAAGGGCGGCTGCTCCAGGGGCCAGGGGCAGGGGCGGCCGTCCGAAGGTCGGGCGCGGGTTAGGGCAGGGCGCCACGGCGGGCAGGGGCGACGCCGCGCGGGTCCCGCAGGGACGTCGCGACGAGCGGGGGCGACGCCCGGGTCCCGTTGGGGCGTCGCGACGCGCAGGAGCCGCGCCTCGCGGGTCTCGCGGGGCGTCGCGACGAGGCGGGGGCGACGCGCGGGTCCCGCTGAGGCGTCGCGACGAGGCAGGGGCGACACCCGGGTGGCGGCGGGGCGGGGCCGCGACTGACGACGGGGCGGGGCCGCTACGGGCAACGGGGTGGGGCCGCGAAGGGGCCGCGAAGGGGCCGCTAAGGGGCCGCGAAGGGGCCGCGAAGGGGCCGGGAAGGGGCCGCGAAGGGGCCGCGAAGGGGCCGCTAAGGGGCCGCGAAGGGGCCGCGAAGGGGCCGGGAAGGGCCGTTAAGGTGCCGCGAAGGGGCCGCTACGGGGCCGCGAAGGGGGGGCGCTAAGGGGCCGCGAAGGGGCCGCTAAGGGGCAGCGAAGGGGCCGCGAAGGGGCCACTAAGGGGCCGCGAAGGGGGGGGGGGCTAAGGGGCCGCGAAGGGGCCGCTAAGGGGCCGTGAAGGGGCCGCAAAGGGGGGCCGCGACGGGCCTCAGGAGCAGGAAAAGCCGCTAAGGGGCCGCGAAAGGGTAGGGCAGGTCAGAGCGCGAAGCGCACTTCGGGCAGGGTAGGAAAAAAAAAAATAGATGGTGGGCCCTTAGGAAGAAACGGTTCCACTAGGGAACCCGCTCTATACCATGTGAAGAAAGAGGAATGACTGAACTAGCAAGGAGATGTGTACAAGTAAGAAAACCTAGCAGTGTTGTACCCCATATAGTCTACCCCACTACAGCCTACACAGACTATGTCATATATGTTTGACAAATATCATAGCGACGACGGTTTCAACCGGGACTAAACGTCCCCTATCACCATAACGACAAAGATATGTGTCGACAAGGTTATTGAAAACGTTACGATTAACCCTAAAGCATTCGGTGAAAATTTGCAGAGGGACATTTTCAAAAAGGGACTGCCACCTATCTCGTTGAACCTCTCGATCCTGCTGCATGTACTCCCTATCGTCGTCATGAAAGGCAGGAGCTCAACGACACATTCGTAACGCGGCCAACCAAAAAACGCGTAGTGTCAGCACGGCGACTAGCTGCCGTGATGACATTAGGAATAGGTGAGCAGAGAGGAAGAGGGCGCTGCCTGGTTTCTATCATTCTGTTTATTGCCTTGAGCAGCACTAGTGTGATTGCAATTGTGTTTGGTGACGGGGTGGTTGAGTGGCTCATTGTCGAGTCGCCGAAAAGGGGGTTGCGAAAATAGCGAGAGGTCAACTTGACAGGTAATGCCTGTTACATTTCGCCTAAATTTTTGAATTTCGAAAGTGGAAAACGTGTCAAATGCGAGGTCCGGACGGGGCTCCGTCCGGACCTGAATCCCTAACGTCCGGACGAGGCTCCGTCCGGACGGTTTGGGTGCCTTGTCCGGACATTCCGGGCTGACGGAAAAAGTTACACGCCCTTAGACTTCATTCTTGAGTGGGATGTACGGAATGAAATACCTCAGCGGACAAGCGAGTCCGCCCGGGGGAGCTCGCTGCCCGCGGGCAAAAAAAATAAAACCCTATCGGGCATGCATCCGGTCAAGGAGGCATCAACCCTAAACATAGGGAGGCATGGATTTAGGGTTGATGCCTCCCTCGGATGGCATGCCTCCCCTTAGCGGCCATGGATTTAGGGTTTTTGTTTTTTAATGGGGCAGCAGGTCGTCAGGTCGTCAGGTCGTCACAGCGTCGTCAGGTCGTCAGGTCGTCACAGCGTCGTCAGGTCGTCAGGTCGTCACAGCGTCGTCAGGCTTGACGACCCATTTCCGCTGAGAACTACCAACAAGAGCCTGGCAAAAGTTTTTCCATTGCCGGGACTTGAACCCGGGTCTCTCGGGTGAGAGCCGAGTATCCTAACCGACTAGACTACAACGGATGTATGCGAGATCGTACGTAATATTACCTTAATCTTAATTAATTGTGCAAAGAGGAAAACTTATTATTGCCAAAAAGTCAACAGCAATATTATTTCTTCAGAGGGAGGAGTACCTAAGCATTGGAGAATCTGCTCAATTACGTGGAAGAATTGCTCCAGAGAACCTTCTATTCTTTCTTGGAATGAATGGCTCACATTGTCAGCCTATCCTTGGTAAGCCAAACCCGGCCATCCTCAATAGACTGGCAACACTTGAGCTGCTGTGTGCGGCAGCTTCAATCATGCTTGTCACATCAGCGGACATGCCACCAGTGGTTCGACTGTTCTTCAGGCATGCGAAAACCGAGGCTTGAAGCACTGTTTGCGGCGACTCCAACAACGCTGGTCATCTGGGAGGGCATGCCAGCAGCGGCTGGACTATTCTTGGCGTGCAGGAAAACGCAGCAGGGGTGGCATGATACGCTAGATATGTGGAGGGATTAGGGATGGAATGTGATGGAAACAAGGCCTTTTGAAATAAGGGAGAGTGTACATAGTGAGGCATGGCGGCTCGGGAATGCAGTGCAGCTGGTAAGACGGGTGAAGGGGCTTGACGAATCTGAAGTGATAAATCTGAAGTGATTGGCACCGTGTGTCTTGGGAGGGATGTGAGGGACTGGAGCTGTGCTAGGAACGGCAGGTGTTGCGGGAAGAACGAGAGTTTTTGGTCGGAGTTGAACGAGTGTGTGTGAAAGTGTCTCTGGTCCCCCACGCAGCTGCTAACAGGGCTGCTGCTGCTTCCGCCTAGGCCAATCATGGTGCTGAAACCTCTGCTACTGCTGCTGCTGATTGATCCACTGCTGCTGCTGCCACTGTTGCCGTTGCTGGCACTACTGCCACTGGCGTGCTCTCCTGCTGCTGTTGCACCACCTGCGTGCAGCCCTGCAACACCGTGCCTTGCAACGGACGCACTACTACCCTCTGCTGCTCCCGCATTCTGCTTTGAAACGGCCCCAGTGGCCCCTGCTGAACCTCCCGGCACGGCTGCCCCATGGCTTGAATGAAACCCCCCTCCTCCTCCTGCCCCTCCTGGCATGGGACCATCTCCCCGGATGTGCGCCGAGGGCTTCATGCGGTCGAGGAAGCGGAGGAGGAAGTTTCCCACGGAGCGACCAATCTCGATGTCCCGGTGCTGGGTGGTTTCGACGGCTGTCAGCGCCACTCGGAACACTGCTCGCGTGCGCCTGTGGGGTGGGGGCACACAGGGGGTAACGGAAGGAGTGGAGTGCGGGGAGGGGTGAAGGTGGGGGGGGGGGGGGGGGGAGGGGGGGGGAGGGGGGAAGAGAGAAAGGGGGGTGAGCGGAAGGCGACCAAGTTGCAAGTTTCCCACGGAGCGACCAAACTCGATGTCCCTGTGCTGGATGGTCTCGACGGCTGTCAGCGCCACTCGGAACACTGCTCGCGTGCGCCTGTGGGAGGAGACATGGGGGGTAACGGAAGGAGTGGGGAGGGAGGGGGAGGGGGGGAAGGGGGAATGGGGGAAGAGAGAACGGGGGAGGAGCGGTAAGCCCACCAAGTTACAAGTTTCCCACGAAGCGACCAATCTCGATGTCCCTGTGCTGAATGGTTTCAACGGCTGTTAGTGCCACTCGGAACACTGCTCGTGTGCGCCTGGAAGGAGAAGGGAGGGCAAGATAAGGGAGCAAGGGAGCAGGAGAATGAGCGAGAAAGTAAGAGAGCGAAGGAGATTAGTGACGAAGGAAGCGAAGGAGATTAGTGACGAAGGAAGCGAAGGAGATTAGTGACGAAGGAAGCGAAGGAGATTAGTGACGAAGGAAGCGAAGGAGATTAGTGACGAAGGAAGCGAAGGAGATTAGTGACGAAGGAAGCGAAGGAGATTAGTGACGAAGGAAGCGAAGGAGATTAGTGACGAAGGAAGCGAACAAGAGGAGCTGCAGAACATGGCGAACGGTGTGAATGCCCAAAGCTGCATTGGTGAAAAGACGCACCGGCTCAGACCCGCTCAGATTAAAGAATCGTGTGACTGAGAGCATGAGTGAGAGAGTGGGAGGGCGAAGGAGCTCAGTGACTAAGGAAGCGAACAATGGAGCTGCAGAACAGAACAATCTCCCTGCAGCTACCTTATTCGCTTGCCAGAAAGCTGCATTGCCAAAAAGACTAACCCGCTCTGATTCTGAGATCCTTTTCACCAAAGACATGTGCGAACCTTTCAAGGCTACACAATCGTATGACGGAAAGCGGAAGGCCAGACCAGGATTCGCCATGCGCAGTCAGCCCGCCTTGATCGGCCAGGTGCTGAGTTCGGCCAACAAAAGTCATGCGGTTCGTCTTAAAAACGCAGGATCGGTCACGTGTCATCAGCAAGGCGAAATCGGCGGAGGTGACGTTGGAGTCGACTCACAACTCACCTTCGGTCAGGTGGGATCACTCAGGCGCGATACGCCCGATAGATCCAATCCGAACACGAAGGATCGGAGCGATCATCAGCTCGGTCAAATCAGATCCGCCAGATCGAATCAGCGAGATGAGATCGATCACAACGCACAGCTCACCTTTTCGCGAAATCGCGAATCCCGGGTCGCGAAAGGAGGACCCTCTTCTGCAGTCGGAGCGCCAGGCGGTACGTGCGCTTGAGCCCGAGAAAATACGCCGTCGCCAGCGTCAGCTCCCATAGCACCATCTCGACGCCGGTTCTGAAGAACACACGGGTCTAAGTCTGGCCTCGCCGGATCAACTGGTTGGCGTCTAAGATTTCTGAAACGTCTCAGAACACACGGATTCGTCTGCAATATCACGTGGTCGGGTTTGCAAGTGATTCGTCAGCAAAAGCAGTAGCAGAGACAGCTGAGGGACCCTTCGCTGCACACGGAACTCTGCAAAGAACCTTAAGGGAGATCTGTTTCTCGCACTTGTGAAAGCCTCTTGGCCCAGACTCTTGCTGGTAATATCGCGCTTCGATCGTTGTCGATTTTCATGCACGCCAAGGACTCTCTTGGTGCTCGTTGCTTGATCGGACCAGCATCTGCGAGTAGCATCTGCAGTTCTTGCAGGAAAGACGAAGCAAGCAGGATTTCATTGGACGGACGCAAAACCATGGCCAGAAGGAAGAAAGAGGTATACTACGGTTAAATTTGATTCGACAGTGGTACAGAAGCTTCTGATGTCTGAATACGGTGCTGGCGATTCCTCAGATTCCTTGGATTCTATGGGCACGACGACAGCCAAACGACAGGCGAATAGAATGTGGAGAAAATTCACGGACGAGAATAAAGGATCTGGAAGTACGACCTATGACGACGCACAAAACTAATTCCCTCGATCATCGTCAAAGTCGTCGAGCTTGTTACCACGACATTCATCTCGTCCGACTGCCACGTGGTCTAACCTTTCTCCATGCTTCAGTGACACCTGCATCTCCGTGGCTCAAAACCAGACAGGTCAGCAGCATTGCCATCTTACGCAATTCCATCTATACACCCTGTTTCGCGCCACACTGACATTCGCTGTATTGACATGCCGCCTATTCTGACATCAACGCGTCCAAAACGGTCCCAGAACATTGCATATAAGCACAATTTGCCGCACTCAACCGTACTCGCTAGCAATGTTCTGACATGAAACGTTTTGTATCGTTCAAATGGACTGCATTTGCCCGCCACCTACCTGGGGTTCGGCTGCAAGCACCAGCCCGCAAAATCCAAGTGCACGTTCGCACTGTAGCCTGGGCTCCCGATTGTCAGAACGTTGAGAAACAGGGTGTACCTTCGGTCGCTTGCGAACCCGCCGTAGATGCAAATATGCCATGAAGTATGGGCCAACATCACAGGCATGCAAAACAGTCTGGTAACCCTATTCGATTGTATGCAAAACCGTCGATACCCCAGTTCCACTGCGCAAATCTGTCTGGTACCGCCACTCAAAACACTGTGTAACAGCTGACGCAGCACAAAAAGGAAGCAATGCGTGCAACAATCGATTACGCTTTCGATTTCGTTTCATTCTATTCTTACCGCGCCTTGTTTGGCGCCTGACAACGTTTCCTGCGGGCACCTATTTTCCGTCGAATGTGCACGATAATTTCGACCGAAAACTTCGTTGGAATGAAAGTAATATATATATTGCTACCGGGTACTGTCAGGGCAGGCAAGAAAAAAAATAAAACCACTAGGGACCTGGACTCATTTCAGGGAGGGATCAACCCTAAACACGGGAAAGGGCATTGTTTTTAGGGTTGATGCCTCCCGAGTTGCATCCCTTTCCGATTGGGTTTTATTTTTTCTGCAGGTGTAGCGAACAGTGTTGCTCATATGGCAGAACAGTCGCCCGAATAAATCGAATTTTAGAGGAAAGAAAAGCGTGGTAAAATTCCGTTTTTGAATTCAATAGAACCGCGATTCTAGGGCAATATGTCAATACCTCCAAAACCGAGGCATCGACGGTTTTGCATACAATCGAACAGGGTTACCATACTATTTTGCATGCCTGTGATGTTGGCCCCATGAAGTATTCTTTCTCATCTAAGTACTCATTTTAGGCGTGGCATTGTTCGGTACTTGGAACGGATTGCCAGGCAAATAACTTCGCTGTGTGATCATCAGACACCCCCCTTCCTACCCCTATCGTAGCCCCGAGCTGAGGCCGTTGGGGAGGTCTAGAATCCAGCCGAATACGATAAGATTTTTTATGTATCATAAAAGCCCTGCCCTCCCTGCCCTTGCAGCAACTCAGGAAGGGCTTCCCTCCCTGCCCTTGCAACAACGGTACTTCAACAAGGAGGTTCTGATTCTGGTGTGTCGGTGTCAACAACATCCTCGCAAAGAGCAGAAAGCCAGACATCTAGCATGGCTAGCGTGACTGGCCAAGAGTAATGGGTGCTGTCAGTGCACCTGTCACCTCTAGGAAGGGTTAACGCTTGAAGGTCGACGAAATGCCCAAACTTTGTCTCATCAGACACCCTGAAAAAAGAATGGCAGCAACACAGCAGGAAAAAAAAAAACATTCAGGCCTGAACAAAGGAACATAAACACCTTAGTCGAGTTAGTTGTAAAGTCTCTCTGACATGAGGTCTCTCACCTGGCTACATGGTCATCGAACGTGAACCCTCTGACGTTGTTGCTCTTATGGAGATATCTCTGCGGCTTCTTCTTCTCTTGCGCTGCCCAGATGCCAAAGAAAGTGACCCCGTCCGGATTGCGAACAACTGACTGGAGTGAAGGCAGAAACACTGACCCTGCAGCATAGGTAGGGACATGTTGCACATAAGAGCCTTTTCTTAGGCACCTCAAAACAGCTCTTTTAACACCAGCTCTGCAGCATTGGTAGGGAGGGACAGGTTGGTCATAAATGCTATTTATATGGCCATGCTAGAAGTGTAATTATAGCATCAAAGCATGAACGAAGATAGAGAGGGTGCAGAAGGGCAAGATAGAAGAGGGACTCACTGAACGCCTCTGCCATCTCCGATGCATTACTCTTGCGTGTGATGTCATGCAGGCCAAAGGACACTGCCACTACGTCGAATGGCGCAAAGTGAGTGACAATGGGGCCGCCTGTGAGATTAGGGGCAGAGCGCCAGTCGTCAAAGACAGGGGCATCTGAATCCAGGTGCGTGGCATAGGTGAGGTTGAAGGTGAACGCACGGCCGCGGCGCCGCACTGGATGCACGATCACCCTGTTGCCGGGCAGGGCAGCAGGGGAGGGGAGAGGCATGCAGTGGCAGGGGCAAGTAGCAGTATGTAATAGCAGCAAAGCAATATGTGAGAGGCTAGCACTCTTATGAGATGCAGAGTGAGGCAGAATTGACAACAGAGCGCTCACTCGCAAGCAAGGGATGGAGACCACCGGCAGAGGCAAGCCAAGGTAAATACAAGGTATGAGTATTAGTCCCCTAGTCCCGACCGACCGACGTCCCATTGGCAGAGAGCTGACTTTTGAGTCGACTCAAAAGTCAGCTCGCAAAGGTGAATACAGCTACAAGTAAATACAAGTACGGGTATTAGTCCCAACCAACGTGCCAGTGGTAGGGAGGAGACGGCGAGGAGCATGTGCGCAGCAACTCCCGCAGAGGCACTCACTGCTGCACATGCACTCACTGCTGCATGTGCACTCACTGCTGCACGTGCACTCACTGCTGCATGTGCACTCACTGCTGCACGTGCACTCACTGCTGCATGTGCACTCACTGCTGCATGTGCACACTCACTGCTGCATGTGCACACTCACTGCTGCACGTGCACACTCACTGCTGCATGTGCACACTCACTGCTGCATGTACACACTCACTGCTGCACGTGCATTCACTGCTGCATGTGCACACTCACTGCTGCATGTGCACACTCACTGCTGCATGTGCACACTCACTGCTGCATGTGCACACTCACTGCTGCATGTGCACACTCACTGCTGCACGTGCACACTCACTGCTGCATGTGCACACTCACTGCTGCACATGCACTCACTGCTGCATGTGCACACTCACTGCTGCACGTGCATTCACTGCTGCATGTGCACACTCACTGCTGCATGTGCACACTCACTGCTGCATGTGCACACTCACTGCTGCATGTGCACACTCACTGCTGCATGTGCACACTCACTGCTGCATGTGCACACTCACTGCTGCACGTGCACACTCACTGCTGCATGTGCACACTCACTGCTGCACGTGCACTCACTGCTACACGTGCACACTCACTGCTGCATGTGCACTCACTGCTGCATGTGCACACTCACTGCTGCATGTGCACACTCACTGCTGCATGTGCACACTCACTGCTGCATGTGCACACTCACTGCTGCACGTGCCGTGCACACTCACTGCTGCATGTGCACTCACTGCTGCATGTGCACACTCACTGCTGCATGTGCACTCACTGCTGCATGTGCACACTCACTGCTGCATGTGCACTCACTGCTGCATGTGCACTCACTGCTGCATGTGCACACTCACTGCTGCACGTGCACTCACTGCTGCATGTGCACTCACTGCTGCACGTGCACTCACTGCTGCATGTGCACTCACTGCTGCATGTGCACTCACTGCTGCATGTGCACTCACTGCTGCATGTGCACTCACTGCTGCATGTGCACTCACTGCTGCATGTGCACACTCACTGCTGCACGTGCACTCACTGCTGCATGTGCACTCACTGCTGCATGTGCACTCACTGCTGCATGTGCACTCACTGCTGCATGTGCACTCACTGCTGCATGTGCACACTCACTGCTGCATGTGCACTCACTGCTGCATGTGCACTCACTGCTGCATGTGCACTCACTGCTGCATGTGCACTCACTGCTGCATGTGCACTCACTGCTGCACGTGCACTCACTGCTGCAGGGCGAAGCCGCTCCAGAAGTGACCCCAGTAGGTGGTGCGGCCACAGAAGGTGCTGTAGTTGACAGCCAAGGCCATGCCCGAGCTGGGGTCCAGTGGCGGGCCCTCCTTGAACACCACGTTCCTCACCCGCACTCGGTGCACCTCCTGCCACTCGGTGAGAGCGGGAGAGGCGTGGGACGAGGTCTGAGCACCGTTGGGGGATATGAGCACATCAAAAGGTTTCCTCATCCTGACCTGCCCGCACCACCTCACCCTGAGCTACCCGCACCAAATCACCCTGACCTGCCCGCACCACCTCAACTCAAACCCTAAAAAGTAAACCCTAAACCACCTCACCCTGGGCTGGCGGCGGTAGCGCTTGAGGTAGCGGCAGCGCGTGCGGTAGTGCAGGAACAGCTGGAGGTGGCCAAACAGGTACCGCATCTCCGAGTCCCCTGCATTGCACAGCACACGTGCAGCAAGGTGACTTTTGAGTCTCAAAAATCATCTCCGAGTCCCCTGCACACGTGGAGCAGCAGGCAGGCAGGCGGCGGTGGCACACAGCGCGGTGCCGTGGTGACTTGAAGGGCACTGGCACGTCACGGGTGCATCCACACCCACACCCACACCCACACCCACACCCACACCCACACCCACACCCACACCCACACCCACACCCACACTCGCACTGCACAGCACAGATGTGGACTCATGCCTGCACGAACGTGCATGCATGGTACAGGCATTGTGCATGCACGGGTGCATGGGTGCAGGACACGAGTAGATACCTATGGCTTTCCCGAAGCCAGCTGCATGCATGGTACAGGCTCTGTGCATAACACGACACGACATGGAGCAGGACACAGTAGGTGGGGTGTGGGTGGGCAGGATGTGAGACCTAGAATGGAGTTTTTGGGACGTTTCAAAACTCAGTAGGTGGGGTGGGGGTGGGCACGATGTGAGGCCTAGAATGGAGTTTTTGAGACATTTCAAAACTCAGTAGGTGGGGTGGGGGTGGGCAGGAGGCGAGACCTAGAATGAGGACGCTCTTGCCGTGCAGATGTTTCTGCACTTCCGCACGTGATACAACATGTGCAGGTTGCCATACCTAGAATGAGGACGCTCTTGCCGTGCAGGCAGCGCCCAATGCGTGCGGGCGTGATGGGGGCAGGCAGGCGGCAGGCCGTGGGGTGCCACGTGTCTCCTCGCCAGAAGCCCGCATGTCGTGAGTCGCGCAGCAGACTGAATGTGCACCGCGGCAGGCTCTGCTCGCTGCCACGCCGCACACACACAGCAGGGAGGGGCGGGCACGGGCCCGTGTGGGTTGGGAAATGAGTACCCGCCACCGAGTGTGCGGATGACGAAAGAAGGCACACTCAGAGGTGGGAGGGACGAAGGGAAGTGGGGTGGGTGGAGAGGAGAGAGAAAGGTTGAAGGGCGGGAGTGCATGCAGGGACACGAAGAGGGCATCCGGCACAAGCAGCGCATGGCATGTGCACCTCATTTGAGACATCTCAAAACCCAACTTTTATCACGTGGCAAAAGGTTGAAGGGCGGGAATGCAGGGACACGAACAAAACACCCGCCACGGGCAGCGGAGCGCACCTCATTTGAGTCGAATCCGTGCCATTCTCCAAGGCATGGAGGGCGCTGGCAGCAGCGACGGTGATGTTGCGTTGAGCCACGACCTTGGACCTGCGAGCGAGGTGCAGCAGTGGCCAGCACAGTTGCAAGAGGGCGGGCGCTCGCAGCACAGGTGGTTCATTCAAGGCACAGCAGGGCATGGGGAGGAGAGGGGGGGCGCACGGCAGGCAGTGGCACGGCAGGCAGTGGCACGGCAGGCAGTGGCACGGCAGGCAGTGGCACGGCAGGCAGTGGCACGGCGGGCAGTGGCACGGCAGGCAGCGGCACGGCACCTGAAGAAGCCGGAGGCGAGCTTGGGGTTGACGCTCTCGCGCAGCAAGAAGGCGTTGGTCCATGGCAGCGCCACCACCACCTCGTACACCCCATCACCGCCCTGCACCGTGTAGCACACCTGCTCTTGGCAGCACACGCGCGCACACACAGAGGTTGATGGGTGCATGTGATGGGTGATCAAGAGCCAGTGGCAGTGGCAGGGCAGTGGCACTGCGCCCAGGGCAGTGGCACTGCGCCCAGGGCAGTGGCACTGCGCCCAGGGCAGTGGCACTGCGCCCAGGGCAGTGGCACTGCGCCCAGGGCAGTGGCACTGCGCCCAGGGCAGTGGCACTGCGCCCAGGGCAGTGGCACTGCGCCCAGGGCAGTGGCACTGCGCCCAGGGCAGTGGCACTGCGCCCAGGGCAGTGGCACTGCGCCCAGGGCAGTGGCACTGCGCCCAGGGCAGTGGCACTGCGCCCAGGGCAGTGGCACTGCGCCCAGGGCAGTGGCACTGCGCCCAGGGCAGTGGCACTGCGCCCAGGGCAGTGGCACTGCGCCCAGGGCAGTGGCACTGCGCCCAGGGCAGTGGCACTGCGCCCAGGGCAGTGGCACTGCGCCCAGGGCAGTGGCACTGCGCCCAGGGCAGTGGCACTGCGCCCAGGGCAGTGGCACTGCGCCCAGGGCAGTGGCACTGCGCCCAGGGCAGTGGCACTGCGCCCAGGGCAGTGGCACTGCGCCCAGGGCAGTGGCACTGCGCCCAGGGCAGTGGCACTGCGCCCAGGGCAGTGGCACTGCGCCCAGGGCAGTGGCACTGCGCCCAGGGCAGTGGCACTGCGCCCAGGGCAGTGGCACTGCGCCCAGGGCAGTGGCACTGCGCCCAGGGCAGTGGCACTGCGCCCAGGGCAGTGGCACTGCGCCCAGGGCAGTGGCACTGCGCCCAGGGCAGTGGCACTGCGCCCAGGGCAGTGGCACTGCGCCCAGGGCAGTGGCACTGCGCCCAGGGCAGTGGCACTGCGCCCAGGGCAGTGGCACTGCGCCCAGGGCAGTGGCACTGCGCCCAGGGCAGTGGCACTGCGCCCAGGGCAGTGGCACTGCGCCCAGGGCAGTGGCACTGCGCCCAGGGCAGTGGCACTGCGCCCAGGGCAGTGGCACTGCGCCCAGGGCAGTGGCACTGCGCCCAGGGCAGTGGCACTGCGCCCAGGGCAGTGGCACTGCGCCCAGGGCAGTGGCACTGCGCCCAGGGCAGTGGCACTGCGCCCAGGGCAGTGGCACTGCGCCCAGGGCAGTGGCACTGCGCCCAGGGCAGTGGCACTGCGCCCAGGACAGTGGCACTGCGCCCAGGGCAGTGGCACTGCGCCCAGGGCAGTGGCACTGCGCCCAGGGCAGTGGCACTGCGCCCAGGGCAGTGGCACTGCGCCCAGGGCAGTGGCACTGCGCCCAGGGCAGTGGCACTGCGCCCAGGGCAGTGGCACTGCGCCCAGGGCAGTGGCACTGCGCCCAGGGCAGTGGCACTGCGCCCAGGGCAGTGGCACTGCGCCCAGGGCAGTGGCACTGCGCCCAGGGCAGTGGCACTGCGCCCAGGGCAGTGGCACTGCGCCCAGGGCAGTGGCACTGCGCCCAGGGCAGTGGCACTGCGCCCAGGGCAGTGTGATCAAGAGTGAGTGGCAGGGCGCAGGAGCAAACGGGTGAGCGTGCGCCGTGAAAGAAAGGGTGTACCATTGCTGGCATGGCATTGCACGCATGGCACTGCACACACCATACACGCAGTTTGCAGTGGCATGATTCGTGGTTGGACACGCAGTTTGCAGAAGGAGCACGTGGGTGTGATTGGCAAGGACGTGGGGGGGGGAGCGCCCACCTGGTGCGAGCTGGACTCGGGCAGGTACTGCACTCGCGGCGCCTGCACTTGAGCCTCTGCTGCCTCGTCCCCGTCGTTGGTGGCAACGCGGCGCATGCTTGCCACTAAGAAGGCGCGCTGCCTGCCCACCCCCCACACGCACGCCCCACGCACGCACGCACAGCACACGCACGCCCCGCGCGCGCACTCCGTGCGCATGCACACCCCGCGCACGCAAGGCGAGACATGCAGGAGAAGGTGGGTTGGCATGGCATAAGGCGGACATCATATCCCCAAGACAGACCATCTGTGACCCGCCCACAGCATGAATAGAGAAGGAAAGGTGCGCCCCACAGCTGCCAGGCCACTAGCGGCAAGGCCTTGCGCGCATGGACCAGAGCATGAATAGAGAAGGAAAGTTGGATGAACGACGAGGTGAGTCGTACCTGCAACCACGGTCGAATGGCCCGCCTTGCACATCAAAAGCTGCACGGGATGGGATGCACAAGCCGGTGGGCAAAATGGTATGTGGCGCAGCCAGTCAGATCACGAACGGCAGGCATCGCCAACAGGGAACACCTAGAGTGTGACACACAGCAATGAGAGAGCGCAGGCAGCGGAAGGTGGTACACAGTGGATGGACGCACAGGATGGAACACAGTGGGTGCTGTAGCCGCACCTTGGCTTTTGAGTCGACTCAAGAGTCACCTCGCATGCTGTGGCCTGGCCGCACCTTGGATTCGGAAGCACGCATGCGATGAGACGTGATAAAAGAAAGCTTTCGAGGATTTTGGGTTTAAGGTTCCTCAAACGCTCTCTTTTTTATCACGAGGAAAAAAGTGGATGGATACTGTGGCCGTGGCCTGGCCGCACCTTGGATTTGGAAGCACGCGGGCTGGAATGGCGTGGCGGGGCCATCCCACCCGTCGCCGCTGACGTTGACGTGCGAGAACCCTAAGTCGGCAGGATCCGATCCCTCTTCGGCACTCGTGTCAGCGTAAGCGCCGGCTTGACTGCAGATGTTGTTGGGGTCGAAGGAGGAAAGCGACGCGGACGCGGACGGGGAAGACGCGCTGCTTTTGAGACGCCTCAAAAGCGAGGCGGACGCGGAAGTAGACGCGCTGCTGCTGCTAGGTGCTGAACCCGCAGCGTCTAGAGCAATGCCTACTAGCAGAGCCTGTGGCGCGCTGGCGCTGGGTGATTTGACATCGGCCCGAGAACTACTAGAAGCAAGTGTGGAGGTAGTAGAAGAGACGGTGGAGCTGGAGAAGACCCATACTCGGCAGACGAGGAGGGCGCAGACGAGGAGACAGAGACATGAGAGCGCAATTCGACGACGGAGAGCCATGATGGCATCGGAGTCGTCCAGCTGTGGTCGGCAGGGCGCGCGGCAGGTGGGGGCGAGTGGAACGTGCGCTGCTAGCACGCGAGGTGCGTACGAGTGGGAGGCTGCTGGCGGCTGATTCGTGTTGGCGGCTGATTCGTACTGCCAGCTAGCTGTACCGGCGGCTGCTAGCGCTGCTGTGAGCGGCGCGCGGCGGGATCAGTGCTGCGCGTGGCGGGCGGGAGGTGGTAGCCGGCGCGCACTGGCGACTGGCGTGCGTCAGTGCGGCTGCTGCCGTGCGCTGCAGTGCGTGCGCTGCGCGCGCGGCTACTGGCTGCGCGTCGCGCGCGCGCTACTGCGTGCGCGCGGAGGCTTCGCGCGCGCGGCTACTGCTGGCGCATCGCGCGCCGGCGGCATGCGGGCTGTGCGCTGGTTGCGCGCGGATGCAGACTACGCGCGCGTGGGTGCAGGCTGGCGCTCGCGCTATGCAGTGGCGGGACGCGCTGCCTGTGGGCAATTGGCTGGCTTGAGAGGGAGCTGGCTGGAGAGGGAGCTGGCTGGAGAGGGAGCTGGCTGGAGAGGGAGCTGGCTGGAGAGGGAGCTGGCTGGCTGACGAGGTAATCGACTGGCTGGCTGGCTAGGAGGTAAAAGGAGCCAGTCTACACCCTAGGAACGTGCCTACACGATGATACCATCTCAAGATCGCGGATGTCGCTGCCTAGGCGCGGGCCTCGCTGTGTGGGCGCTCCCACGCGCGAATGCTGCTTGGGCGCGGATCTCGCTGCTACGGCGCGGATTTCGCTGCTTCGGCGCGGATTTTGCTGCCTGAGCGCGGATTTCGCTGCTGCGGCGCGAATTTCGCTGCTACGGCGTGGATTTCGCTGCCTAACTCCGCGCTGCTACCTGCAGTTCGCGGGCTGAGTGGCTAATTCGCGGGTCGGTCAGCAAGATCGCGGCTTTGCGGCTAGGTCGCGGACGGGGCGGCTAGATCGCGGGCTGGGCGGCTAAGACGCGGGCTGGCCGGCTAGATCGAGGCCTAGGCGGTTAGATCGCGGGCTGGGCGGCTGAATCGCGGGCTGAGCGCGGAGAACACTGCCTGCGCTGTGGAGGCTAAATCGCTCTGCCTCGTAGCGTCGTAGCGCTGGTAAGTGGCGGAATCGCGCTGCTACAAGCGGGAAACGCGCTGCTGCCTGCGAAACGCGCTGCTACTAGCGGGAAACGCGCTGCTGCCTGCGAAACGCGCTGCCACTAGCGGGAAACGCGCTGCTGCCTGCGGATCGCGCTGCTACTAGCGGGAAACGCGCTGCTGCCTGCGGATTGACTAGGTGACTTTTGAGCCGAGAGATATTATGTGCCCTCTAATAAATAACTCACTACAGCCTAACATATCTAAAAAATATATAAGCATAACTTCGCGTTTCGCATAGAGAAACGTATGCCCTATTTCATTTTCGCTGTAGTACATTAGATTATTATAGAACTTATACATTCTAACTCGTGTACGCGCATGTGTCCATTGTAACAAGCAAACCCATTTATAAGAAAAACTTAAGACACCCCTTTCTTCAATTTGACACTGCCTCATATCCAGGCGTTGGCGGTGGTGTATAGCTCCCTATAAATACATAATGATAAGGCTTTCTATACTGGGAATGTAAGCATTACGCAACCCTAGTACCCTACTGACGTTTACACCGAATCTTGTCGTTTCACTCATTTCTTCTCAACCTCATGTTCTAAAATCAGGCTCTCCGGTTACTGTATATAGACTGCCATGCTCCAGATGTTGCCAACTGTGCTATGAGCTGGCGACTTGTGAACTGCCATACTGGTGGTGCTGCTGCAGGCAACATACAGACAGAATCTACAGATCCATCAAGCTGGCCTCTCCCATTCACATGTTCAGCAACACGAGCATGCTCACATGGCCATCTATCGCCTGTCAGGGGGCAAAGGAAGCTAAGAGTGGCATGCTGTGCTCGGCCCGCATGGTGCTGCTTGCAATGTTTCAAGCCGTCTCATTGCCACTCATCTGCATGCCTACACAGCACACCCCCATAAATCACCCGTCAAGTGGGAATGGAAGGCAAGAGTGGCATGGTGCTGCCACTCTACATAATTACCCTCATCAGTTGCCCGTCAAGTGGCAAAGGAAGCCGAGACTGGCATGTTGTGCACAGCCCGCATAGTGCTGCTGCAGAGCCAGTTTCATCCACACTTTTGAAAAGAAACGAGGCTTATCCAAGCCGTCAAGTGCCAAATAAAGCTGAGAGTGGCATGTTGTGCAGGGCCCTCATGGTGCTGCTATAGATCTGTAATGCCATACTCAATCTACAATCAGCCATCAACAAGCCATCGATCACCCGTCAAATTGCAAAGGAAGCTGAGAGTGGCATGCTGTGCACAACCCACTTCCCTTCCCATCATTCAGCCTAAAATCTACCATCAAGTGGCAAAAGAAGCTGAGAGTGGCATGTTGTGCACGGCCCGCATGGTGCTGCTGGCAACATCCAGCAGCTGAAGCCACTCGTCCGCCCCATCCACTAGATTCTGAACCAAGACAAACGGTGGCACAAGGAGCATGGGAATGGGGAGGAAACAGGGGTAGACGTGGGTTTGCTTTGGCAAAGGAAGCTGAGAGTGGCATGTTGTGCACGGCCCGCATGGTGCTGCTGGCAACATCCAGCAGCTGAAGCCACTCGTCCGCCCCATCCACTAGATTCTGAACCAAGACAAACGGTGGCACAAGGAGCATGGGAATGGGGAGGAAACAGGGGTAGACGTGGGTTTGCTTTGGCAAAGGAAGCTGAGAGTGGCATGTTGTGCACGGCTCTCATGGTGTTGCTTGTAACATCCAGCAGCTGAAGCCGCTCGTTCGGCCCATCAACTAAATTCTGAACCAGGACAAACAGTGGCACAAGGAAAGGGGAGCTTGCCACAACATTCCACAGACACAAAAGTCAAAAGTCGGAGTACGGAAGGATGAAACCTTGTATGGCGTACAAGATCCCAGGAGGGCAGTACCTTATAAGGTGGTCAACACCCTACGAATGCTGTACCTTGTAAGGCGTACAAGACACCAGGATCCCAGAGGTGTGGTGTCTTGTAGGGTGTACAAGTTCCCAAGCAACGCAGTTACCTTGTCAGCGGCGGCAATGGTGGCACAGATGCGCGCCTTCTGCTCGTCTGTGAGGTCGTCTGCTGCCGTGGCTGCATCAAATAGCTGAGGGTGCAACGAAGGAAAGGTGGGCGGTAAACGAAGGGGGGAGTAAGAAGCCAAATGTGTGGGCGTGACCTTCTGCTCGTCTGTGAGGTCGTCTGCTGCTGTGGCTGCATCAAATAGCTGGAAGGGAAGTAAGACCAATGGGTATGCCAAGGGAAAGTGGAAGGTGGGGGGTACGATACTGAGATGAGAAAAAGAAACGGACAGCCTTGAATTCCGCATTCAGAGGTAGCTGGATGGAAGAGAGAGACAAGTCTTGAGGCGCCTAATAAATCAGTGGGTGGTGACGCTGCATGCAGAGGCAGCTGCATGGAAGAGAGAGAGAAAAAGAGAGGCGGGAGGGGGACATGGCTAGTGAAAACAAGAGGAATTGTGAAGTGAGAGCTGCCTTTGCAGAGCAGGTGAGCGTCTTTGTAGTACCTGGGAGAGGATTTGTGCACCAGGCATGAGGAAGAGCATGGCACTCCAGCCAACAGCAGCACCGGCAACGCGAACAGCAGCACATGGCTCGCCTTCAGCAGCACATGGCTCGCCTTCAGCAGCACATGGCTCGCCTTCAGCAGCACATGGCTCGCCTTCAGCAGCACATGGCTCGCCTTCAGCAGCACATGGCTCGCCTTCAGCAGCACATGGCTCGCCTTCAGCAGCACATGGCTCGCCTTCAGCAGCACATGGCTCGCCTTCAGCAGCACATGGCTCGCCTTCAGCAGCACATGGCTCGCCTTCAGCTGTTTTTCGCGTGGCTGGTGCTGCTGTTGGCGGGAGTGCCGTGCTCCTCCTCATGCCTGGGTTAACGTCACGCTAGCAATAGCAGCAGTGACGACAGACTGGAAGACCGCAGAGACAGTGGTGGTGGTAACATCACCTTGTGGTGAAAAGGGTGGTGGCAGCATTACTGTGTAACCTTAATAGGTAGTAACTCGAGAAGCTGTATTACCTGGGAAAGAATTTGCGCAGCAGGGTAACCATCAGCAGCAGCAGCGGTGACAGTCACATGAATTGAGGCAACCATGGTTGTAGGCTACACTAGGATGTAAATTCGTAACACCTGAGAGAGTATTTGTGCAGCAGGGTTACCGTCGGCAATAGCAGCAGTGACAGCAGACTCAAAAGAGGCATATTCTTTGGTGGAGCAGACTCGACAGCGGCGAACACACCAATGGTAATTCTACATTGTACTACCTGGGAGAGTATTTGTGCAGCCGGGTAACCGTCAGCAACAGTAGCTGTGACGTCAGACTGGCAGCAAAGAAAGTGGCGGTAACTTTGTAACACATGAAGATGTAAATTCTGGTACCCTTGTAACCTTTGAAAATGTGGTACCTGGGAAAGTATTTGCGCAGCGGGCAACCGTCAGCAACAGCAGCAGTGATGGCAGACTGGCAGCAAAGAAAGTGGTGGCAATTTTGTAACACGCGAAGATGAGAATTCTGGTAATCTTGTAACCTTTGAATTGTGGTACCTGGGAGAGTATTTGCGCAGCAGGGTAACCATCAGCAACAGCAGCAGTGACAGCAGACTGAACAGCTTCAAAAGCACCTCCCCTGCAGGCCTCGAGGATGGAGGTGACAACTGAGGCAGGCACCACCTGCACACAAAGGGCGAGGGAGAAATGTGAACGGGAAAAACAGGGATGAGAGAAATGAATTGCAATGGGTGACAACTGATGCAGTCATGATCTGCATGGGGAGAGAGAGGAGACCAGCAGAAAGAATGCAGTGTGAAAGGGAAGGTGACAGATGGGGAGGATGGGAGGAAAGAAGGGAGGAGGGGAAGAAGGAAGAAAGTGTGGAGGAGAGTACACGCCAAAGAAGGCAGATTTATCAAGGGAAGGTGACATCTGAGGCAGGTATGAACTGGTGGAATGAGGCTGTTAACAAACATGTGCTATATTATATATAAACTTGCCAATCTGCTGTGTGGGTGTGAATCTGTCAATTCTGGTTGGATCCCGATTCTATTGTTTCCTTTCTTTTCTTCAACCCACTTCCGTTTGCTTCACACATCCAGCAACACCGTGGTAGGGAAGTATTTCGGCGCGTATGCATAGCAACAGCAGAAAGAAGTGCATGATTACGTACCCCTGACACTTCAATCATGTGTTGCGCTGAGATGGACGAGCCGTACAGCCTGGCTGCACTCTGCGATCAAGCAAGGCAAGGTGGGAGGATGGGAGAGGTGGCAGGGCAGAAGAGACACGAGACAGGGAAGGGACGGTCAGAGTGATATTAGCGATGCCTGAATTCACCCTCTGACACCCAATTCCCAGCTCATGTCAAGTCGTGAGCCGTGACACCATCACGAGCACACCATCCCTCCTCCACTCCACCCCACTCCACTCCTCTACCCTGCACCCACCTGCAGGGTCGTGATGGCTCGCCTGCGATCGCCCTCTGACACCCAATTCCCAGATCATGATGTGAAGTCTGGAGACTTCTCAAATCACCAGCATTCTTACGGAATCATGCGAGGAATGTAACAGGGAAAAAAGACAATAATGTTAATGTTATGTACATGGAATTTCACAGCCTCAGTAGCACAGTGGTAGTGCGTTCGCTTCGTAAGCGAAAGGTCCAGAGTTCAATCCTCTGCTGAGGCAATTTTTCGTGCATTTACATTTCTACCATTTATCCCTTCCACCCTACCCTGGCATTATCTTCATGCCCCCCTCTACATGTTTTAATATTTTTTTCCTCCCTACTCTGAGCCTGTCAGTCATCTCTTCTCCCCAACAACGCTCACCCGGGAGGCAGTCAGCTGTATTGAGAGCCCAGCTTGAATGGGACTGTGATGATTCCATTTCACCTTTTGTCTGGTTTATCAGTTACCTCTTGTGCCAGCCCAGCAGCTCAGCAGCCCAGAAGCCCAGAAGCCCAGAAGCCCAGAAGCCCAGAAGCCCACCTGGCAGGCACACACCTCATCTGAGAGTGCAGATCTTATGGGAGCACAATGTTTGCACTCCACTGTGTGTCTGAGTCACCCTCTTGCCCCACCACCAACCCACCCTCGAATCCGAAAGCGTTACGTGTTCACAGTTGGCGATGTGGCGGGGCCTGCCAATCATCACCTGCTCCACCAGCACCTCACTCCACCTCAACCCACCGCAGCCCACCTCGCCTCACCTCCTCTAACAGCGTTAGGTGTTCGCAGTTGGCTGTCTCAGCTGGTCAGATCAGACATCACCTGGCCCAGCAGCAGCCAACCTCAAGTGCAAGGTACCAGCAATGCATGAATGCAGAGTGCAGCTTACCTCCTCTGAGAGCTTGAGGTGTTCACAGTCCGTAATGTGTCTCAGCTGGTCGGTCATCACCTGCCCCACCAGCACCAGGTCACCACTGTGAACAGCAAGTGTAACGCACCTCATCACTCAGCAACAGGTGCTCGCAATCCGCAATGTGGCGCAGCCGGTTCGTCATCACCTGCCCCACCAGTGGCTTACATCCCATCACAGAGTGCAGCTTACCTCCTCTGAGAGAGTGAGGTGCTCGCAGTCTGCAATGTGTCTGAGCCGGTCAGTCATCACCTGCCCCACCAGCAACTATGCGAAAGGAACGCAGCATTGCACACTGAATGCGAAGCACCTACCTCCTCTGAGAGCGTCAGGTGTTCGCAGTCCGCAATGTGTCTGAGCCGGTCCGTCATCACCTGCCCCACCAGCGGTCGGAATCGGAACTTGGCGCATCGGGAGGCCAGCGGCTCGATGATCCTGATGTGCGTTGGTTGGGGGCAGTGGGAATGACATGGGTTCAGGGGAAAGGGGAGGTGATACAAGTTTAGGCGAGCGAAAAGGCAGCACACATCACAACGCACAGCACGGAGGAATCGGAAAGAAGAATGGCACGGCAGGAGGTGAATGGCTCAATGATTCTGATTGGCGTTGGTTGAGAGATAGTAAGGGAGGGAGATAGTATCAGCTCAGGCAGTGAAAGACCAACACCGCATGAAGCAAAGCCGGAAACAGCTTCTTTTAACTTCAAGTGTGGAAGCATAGCAGTCATTCCACATTTTTTCTCTCTCCCCTAAGCACCTTTAAGAATGGGAGTGACTTGATGTTGCAGGCTGATTCTAAGAATTCTCAAATTAACCTACATTTATATGATAAGAGTGGACAATTCTTGCCCACCAAGGTACAGAGCAGTTACCTGCTGATGTAGTTGCAGATGAAGACAAATCTTGTGACGCGCGAGTGGAGCTCCATGGTTCGGCGTAGAGCATTCTGATTGGAGGAGACGACGAGCGGAGAGAAGAGGAGAGGAGGGGGAATAGGAAAGGAGAAGAACGTGATGGAGAGGACGGGAGGGGAGGGGACAGGAGGGTGGAAGAGACTGACTTCACAGCTGCTGATTTCTCAAAATCGTCTTTAGATGGATGGAGAGTGTTAAGCAAGCACGTGTGCTGTGCACCCACTCTGCCCATGCCATGAGAGTGTCACAATCCACTCTGCCCCATCCTACCCCATGCCATCCCTTCCGCCCCATCCTACCCCATGCCATCCCTTCCGCCCCATCCTACCCCATGCCATCCCTTCCGCCCCATCCTACCCCATGCCATCCCTTCCGCCCCATCCTACCCCATGCCATCCCTTCCGCCCCATCCTACCCCATGCCATCCCTTCCGGCCCATCCTACCCCATGCCATCCCTTCCGGCCCATCCTACCCCATGCCATCCCTTCCGCCCCATCCTACCCCATGACATCCCTTCCGGCCCATCCTACCCCATGCCATCCCTTCCGCCCCATCCTACCCCATGCCATCCCTTACGGCCCATCCTACCCCATGCCATCTCTTACGGCCCATCCTACCCCATGCCATCCCTTCCGGCCCATCCTACCCCATGCCATCCCTTCTGCCCCATCCTACCCCATGCCATCCCGTCCGGCCCATCCTACCCCATGCCATCCCTTCTGCCCCATCCTACCCCATGCCATCCCTTCTGCCGCATCCCACCCCATGCCATCTATTCTGCACCATTCCACCTCACCTTACGTATTAATCCCCGTCCTAACCACTCTGGCCCGCCCGATGTTCTCCCAATAACACATTCGCCTTTTGACTCCCACCCCCACCCGATTTCTGCTCCTCTTCTCCCGTCCTTCTTCCTCACTCCCTTTCCCCCCTCCATTCCGCCCTATCTCCCCCCTCACTTCCTCACCTGCGCATCTTCAGTCCGGGAGTCAGCCTCGTCGATAATTATCACCTTTTGCCTCTTCTCCTCCCCCGTCCCCCTTTGTTCAGCCCCTCCCTTCCCCTCCTCCCTTCCCCAGCTCCCCCACCCCACCTCCCTACCCCCCCTCCCTTCCTCACCTGTGCATCTTCAGTCATGGAGTCGGCTTCATCTAGTATGATCACCTTGAACGGTGGACAGGGGTAGCCGCTGGTGGAGAGGGGTGAAGAAATAATGGTGGGCAAGGGGAGGGGGGTAGGTGGAGTGCCTTCAGCCACAACCTAAGCAACAAGCACCTTCAGTCATGGAGTCAGCTTCGCCGAGAATGATCACCTTGAACGGTGGACAGGCGTAGCCGCAGGGGAGGGGGGTGGGAAGGAAAAGAGGGGCAAGGGGAAAGCGGGACAGGGGGAAAGGGGTGAGGGCCTTCAGAACAAGCACCTTCAGTCATGGAGTCTTATAGAAAAGAATGATCACCTTGAACGGTGGGCAGGGGTAGGCAATGCGAGCAAGGGTTGAGAGGGAGGGGAGGTTGCGGTAAGCAGGAGAAGGGAAGTGCGTTCAGCAAGAAGAATCCTCCGCCACCAAGGCAGTGTTGATAGAAACAAAGGGCATTTTGAGAGTCATAACTTCACTCACCCCTCACCTGCCGTTTCACCTGCCCTATCACCTGCCTGCTCACCTGATCCCATCCCGTGGCCCACAGCCACGCCAGCAAAGTCGTTGATCTTGGTTCGCACCACACTTCATTCCCCTTTTGCCTTTTCCTGGTACTACAGTTAGCACTCCTCATTCAACATGGCTCACCTCACCCTGTGAACCACAGGCCACAGATGCGAAATCCTCGATCTCAGTGCGCACCACACTTCATCTCTTGTTTCTTTCCTACCACTCCGCATTCAGCATACTTCACCTGCCCGCTCACCCGACCCCATGCGCCATGGCCACGCCAGCATATTCTTTGATCTTGGTGCGCACCACTCATTCTCTCGCTTGATTCTCTTGTACCTTAGCACTCGTCCTCCGCATGGCTCACCCGACCCCGTGCCCCACGGCCACGCCAGCAAAGTCCTTGATCTTGGTGCGCACCACACTGATACCCCTGTCGTCACTCGCGTTCAGCTCCAGCACCCGGGACGAGTATAGCTCAGGGCTGGGGGGGAGAAGTGGATGGGATGGGACGGACACACAGTATGGGTATGACATGGAAGCGGTGGTTTCTCTTGGTGTGTGTCGCACCACACTGATGCCCCTGCGCCGGTCGTCACTCGCGTTCATCTCCAACACTCGTGAGGGGTAGAGCTCAGGGCTGGGGGGGAGAAGTGGATGGGATGGGACAGACACACAGTATGGGTATGACATGGAAGCGGTGGTTTCTCTTGGTGTGTGTCGCACCACACTGATGCCCCTGCGCCGGTCGTCACTCGCGTTCATCTCCAACACTCGTGAGGGGTAGAGCTCAGGGCTGGGGAGGGGGTGCCACAGACGGTATGGAACGGATAGACAGAAACGTCGTGGTGTGTGTGGCTCATCTTGGTGTGTGCCGCACCGCACTGATGCCCCTGTCGTCACTCGCGTTCAGCTCCAACACTTGCGAAGAATAGAGCTCGGGGCTGCACCCAGGAAGAGGCGGGTTAGAGCATGGGATGGGACAGACAGACAAGGCGTGCTGTCAATGTGTGGTTCCTCTCTCTTGCTGCTTGCAAGTGCGCAGGTGTTGTTCAACAGTGCCTGGATTGCGCGAGGTTACCACCATGTCAACGCAGCACTGTTACACCCAAAGAGATCCTCAGTGACAACCATTGGATAGGCCATCTTGCTCGTTTGACACACATGCCTGCTGAGCAGCAGCGAGCCACGAAGAGCCATGGCACCCAAGTCGTGATCACACAGAACCATTCACTCACTCCTGTCCCACCCGAACAGCTCTCCTTGGTGATCGCCGGCATTGTAAATTGTAAACGTCTTGCTTATTTGACACACACAGCTGCAAACCACGTAGGGCCACGGCACGCAACTGGTGCTCACGGCACGCAACTGGTGCTCACTCAAAGCCCCAATCGTTCACACAAAGCCACGCCAACCAATCGGGCTCACCCAAAGTGCTTCTTGGTGATTGGATTGCCAGCGCTGCGGACGTCTTGCCTGCCCAACAATGTTCAACACACACGGCACCACACAGGACCACACAGAACCACCCATTGTTCAATCAGAACAACTCATTTCTCACCCGAAGAGTTCCTTGGTTATGGCCAACGCTGTCGACGTCTTGCCTGTTCCGGGCGGACCGTAGAAGAGCAGATGGGGCAGCTGCAGGGAGGGGGAGAGAGGGTAAGAAGTGCGGAGACGCACAGGGGAATGGTTGATTGGAGGAGAGTTACGGACATGATCAGAGAGGAGGGGAATGGATCTGAAAGAGGGTTCACAAGCATCTGCATCCCTAATCTCATCTCGTCTACTGACCGCTCATATCATCTCACCTCATTTAATCTCATCCCATTTCCTTCCCATCTGTAGCCAGTGCGTTCTTGAGTGTCGTCACCACCCACGAAACTTCCCTCCCCTCCCCGCCCTCACTCACTCACTCACTCACTCTCATCATTCCCCTTCAGCTGCCCTCATCTCCTCCGATCTCACACTGGCAGCAACCAGCGTGTCTTGCGCGTCATCACCACCACCCACCCCAGCCATAATCCTTCTTCTCCCGGTCTCACTCACTCACGTGCTCACTCACTCACTCACTCACTCGCTCACTCACTCACTCGCTCACTCACTCACTCACTCACTCACTCGCTCACTCACTCGCCCACTCACTCACTCGCTCACTCACTCACCCACCCATTCCCTCACTCACTCACTCACTCATCACTCCCCTCCACCTGCTCTCATCGAATCTCACATTGCCTGTCGCCAGTCGCCAGTGGCCAGTGAGCTGTTGAGTACCGCCACCACCCCAGACACGCGCCCCCTTCCTCTGCCCTCACTCAATCACTCACTCACTCACTCAATCACTCACTCACTCACTCACTCACTCAATCACTCACTCACTCACTCACCCCCCTCCTCCCATCTCACATTGCCAGTCGCCAGTGTGTTCTTGAGCGTCGCCACTCTATCCCCCTTTTCATCTCAACTCATCGCATCACATCCCATCTCATCCCCTTCTCACTCACATTGCCAGTCGCCAGTGTGTTCTTGAGCGTCGCCACTCTATCCCCCCTTTCATCTCAACTCATCGCATCACATCCCATCTCATCCCCTTCTCACTCACATTGCCAGTGGCCAGTGTGTTCTTGAGCGTCGCCACCACCTCCTGCTGATGTGCCACGTCAGACACCTGCTTTGGGCGGCTGGAGGGGGGAAATTAAGAAGAGGATCAGAGCAGTGAGTCCCCTTCCATTGACGTGTGATCAGTCAGCAGAGCAGACTGATGCCCTTGCAAGGAGCAACAAGGCAGCGAGGCAGTCACAGAGTATGCAAGGCAGGTTCAATCCGAGTTGGCTAAACAAAAGAACAGAGGTTGCGGGATGATGAAGAGAAGAAGAGAACACACCCAGGAGTTTGTCAAGCAAAGGGGCAGATAAGGCAAAGACAACGCGAGAGAAGAACGGAGTCACCGTGTATCCTGTGCACACAAAGTGCAGAAAGCCGTTGGCTAGAAGCTGCAACCCACACACCCGCAACCCACACACCCGCAACCCACACACCCGCAACCCACACACCCGCAACCCACACACCTGCAACCCACACACCTGCAACCCACACACCCGCAACCCACACACCCGCAACCCACACACCCGCAAACCACACACCCGCAACCCACACACCCGCAAGCCACACACCCGCAACCCACACACCCGCAACCCACACACCAAGCCATTACACCACCAACCCTCATAAACCCCAACCCCCAAACCCCCGAACCACCATACCACCCCAACCCTCGATCAGCGCTCACTATTTCCCCACCCAGGGCTGGGTGTTGGTGGGTGTGACTGACACCATTGGCGTCTTACACTCACAGGTAAGAAGTCTTACACTCACAGGTAAAAAGTCTTACAGCAGCTCACGCCAACCTTAATGCTGCAATCCCCACACTCCCCAACCATCCCGCACACACCCAGCTCCCCCGGCCGGCACTCACTACTTCTCCACCCAGGGCTGGGTGCTGGCGGATGTGACTGGCGCCATGGTGCTGATGGTGCAGGCAGTGGTTGAAAGCGGTGCAAGGCGCCTTTAGGGCGGTGTAGGGTGGCTCGCAGGTTGGGGGTTGCACACTGATGGGATGGAAATGAGTGCGGAGTATGGATGGATGGATGGATGGATGGATGGATGGATGGATGGATGGATGGATGGATGGATGGATGGACGGACGGACGGACGGACGGACGGACGGACGGACGGACGGATGGACGGATGGATGGACAAGCGGATTAATAGATGGCGGATCGGGGGGAGGGAGGGAGCGATGGATGGTGGGGATGCAAACGGCAAGAACGAGAACGAGAACACTGGTTCTTGAAAGCAGTGAAGAAACACGACACTGGTTCGCGCAAAACCCACCACCTCAGCTCTTGCTTACTCCCCCTCCTTCCCTTCTCCTCCTGCTCCCCTGCCTCCTCTTTCTCCCCCCTCCCCCCTCCCCCAAACCAGCCTCATCCCTACCTCTTCCTCACTCTTTCCTCCCCTCTTCCTTGTCGCTCTCTGCGCTGTGTGGGTGGCAGAGCGGCCGCAACGCGAGCGAGGGTGACTTGAAGCGAAGGGAAAGCGGGCCGAGGCGCCTCTAGGAAGGAAATTGACGCTGGAACGTTGTGGGAGGAATCCTTGAGTGGTTAGGCGACACTACGCTAACAGCAGAGCTATTCAAAACGACCGGCTGCTACGCGAATATTGAGCTCCGATTATTTGTCAGATTTTAGCCTGGTGATTACCTGCTTCGCACATACGTGCGACCCGAATATGCTCGTGCTAGTTGAGGCGGGTTCGTTTTCTGCTAGTTTCCGCACCGCAATGTGGTTACCCTAAACTGAACGGACTGTCGGTTCGGTGGTCGTGATCATTGCGACAAAGTTCTTGCTCACCGAATTTCGAACAGCTATCTTGTTTTCGCACATTTCGTCACTCAACTCCAATGTTCCGCGCACTCATTTTGTGATTTCCGTCTTTTCGTGAATCTCGAACCCACCGTGGTTTCATGAATTCGAAACTGATCAGTTTCCTCCACCCCGATCAAACTGCAAAATCGGGAACTAATGTAATTAGATCCTCAGATTTTACGAAGTGTATGTCAGATCACTGATTATTATCTTGCGCTTACGACGAATAAATTCAGTCAGCGCTCACGGTGGGATCGTCTGTCCCCAATCATCCTAGTCTTTCGACCCTTCCATTCTCCCAAGAAATGGCGCTTCTCCGTATCGCGTGCCGTTCCGCGGTGTCAGCTACAGCGGCGTCGCTGCTGGTCGCCTGTCTGATCGCGGCGGCAGCGGGATCGGCGCAAGCGGCGAGCGCCGTGGCCGTGAACGGCGGTGCCGTGGTGGACGGCTACGTGCGACTCGACGGTAGGACACTCCGCTGTTTCCTCGTGTCCCTTTCATTACCATGATTCGATACAGTATCATGGTAATCACTGTCCGAGTAGCCATTGCGGGCTCCACCGTGGTGGACGGCTACGCGCGACTGGACAGTAGGACTATTTTTCACGTCGCTTTCCTCGTGTCCACTTTATTAGCATGATGCGGAACAGCATTAGGGCAGCCACGGACCTAATAGTCGTTGAGAGCTCCACCGTCTCCCTTTCTTACTTTCTTCTTTTCGCGAGCAAACTGTCTTTATTTCATCTCTCCCATCAGCTCTGAAGATCAAATCGACGGCTGTGAAGATCCTGATTAACGGTGGAGATTCAGTGGCGTTTGTGCGATCCAACGGCTACTTCTCCATGTAAGGCTCCGCGTCCTTCGCGTCATTTCTTCTGTTCCCCATACGATTTCCCGCCTTCCCCGCTGCTCTCCCTCCCCAATGCCCGCCCTCCTCGCCCTCCCCGCCCTCCCCGCCCCCTCCGCCCTCTCCGCCCCCTCCGCCCTCCCCGCCCCCTCCGCCCTCTCCGCCCCCTCCGCCCTCCCCGCCCCCTCCGCCCTCCTCGAACTCCCCGCCCATGACCGTTTGAGGCCAAACAACTTGGCTCATTTTCCCCTTTTCCTCCTCCCTTCGCCATCCTCCTATTCCGTCCCTCTCTAACCCCCTCCTCCCCCCCTTCCCCCTTCAACCTCCCCTCCCCTCCCCCTTACATAACGCCTCCCTCCTCACATTCCACCGAGCGCCGTGCCTCGAAGCCACGCACACATCCCATGATGCCTGCGAGGTGACTTGTGAGATGCCACCAAGCGTTGTGCCTCGAAGCCACGCACACATCCCATAATGCCTGCGTGAGGTCTCTTTTGAGGCGTGAGATTTCCCCTGGCGCTCGTTGGGAGTTCACTGAGAAAGTACCACCAGTCCACCGCCATACGCCCCCTCTCAACACACGTTTCCCACCGCCGCCCTCCCTCTGTGCACTCGCCCATCACATCCCATTATCCCTGCTTGAGAATTCCCCCCTAACGGCTCGTCTGGAGTTCACTGAGAAAGTACCACCGCCGTATGGCCCCCTCCCAACACAGCACACCCTACTGTGCCCTGCCTCTGCGTACTCACACATCGCATCCCCTGATGCCTGCGTGAGATTTCTCCTGGCGCTCGTTGGGAGTTCACTGAGAAACCACCGCCGGCATACGCCCCCATCCCAACACACCATTCCCCACCGCTGCCGCCCTTCCGCCGCGCACGCTGCAAGTGGCTGTTGTCTGCTGTGCGCGGACGCAGGGCACTCACCACGTGCACTCAAACGCTGCAAGTGGCCGCTCCCTGCATTCCCTTCAAACGAGGGTCCACATTTGACTCCCGAAACCCTTAATCCTGGCGAATTGTTACTGCGGAAGAAAAGTGGCTGCACAAAATTCAGAATTCTCGCCAACCAACACTTTCGCGCTGGCAATCCTGGTTCAGGAGTATTCTTTTCTGAACCTCGAGGGACAAATGTGGACCCTCATTTGTAGAGTCGACTTCCCTGCTGGCTCAATCCCTTCGAGAATTGAGTCGACTCACTTGCTTCCTCCCCTCTCCTGTAGCCCCCGTACTCTTCCCCCCACACCTCCTCCATCACTCTGTTCCCCACCCCTCCCTCCCCCATCACTCTGCGCCCCACCCCTCCCCCATCACTCTGTTCCCCACCCCTCCCCCATCACTCTGTTCCCCACCCCTCCCCCATCACTCTGTTCCCCACCCCTCCCCCATCACTCTGTTCTCCACCCCTCCCCCATCACTCTGTTCCCCACCCCTCCCCCATCACTCTGTTCCCCACCCCTCCCCCATCACTCTGCGCCCCACCCCTCCCCCATCACTCTGTTCCCCACCACGCTGCCTTTAAACTCACCTGCATTCCCTTCAAACGAGAGGCAGTTAGCCTCTGTCTCTGTCTTCTCGCCCTCCCTCCCTTCCTCCTCTCCTCAGTCCCCACATGCCTTTCCTCACCCCCTTGCCTCCTGTCATGCACACACTGCAAGTGGCTAGTCGAGATGATGCGAGTTTTGTCACCAACGAATTACCCTTTGTATGTATGCTTCTCTCCTCTCCCTCCCTCCTTCCCCCATCCTCTTCCCACACGGCCCTCCCCAGCGCTCTGCCTTCGGGCATGCACACACTGCAGGTGCATTATCGTAATGCTCTGGAGTTCTCCCATGCACGAGTTTCCCTCACTGTATTTACCCTTAACCAACCGTCTGTCCGTCCTTCTCTTCCTCCCTCCCTCCCTCCCTCCCTCCCTCCCTCCCTCCCTCCCTCCCTCCCTCCCTCCCTCCTTCCCCACACACCCACCCCTCCCCAGCGCACTCTCTCCCGGCTCGCACACGCTTCAAGTAGCTGCTCCGGGGGCGTTCTTCCTGCCGGTAAGCCCAAACCATCTCTTCCCTCTTGCACGCGATCAGGTCTCTTGTCGACCTTCCGTGTCGTCCTTCCAAGAAGCAACTACTCCCTTCCCTTGCAGTGTGCTCGCACTCTCAAGCCAAGGATGTCCCCTTTCCTCCAGCCAGCCCACCCCCTGTGTCGTATCAGCTGCTCTGCTATCACAGGATATCTGTGGGCGCTATGTCATGTTTGCTGTTGTATTTATTCTGGTGTTGTTGGCGAGTACGGAGTGTGAAGTGTACAGCTTACCTTGAGGGGCTCGAATCGAATGACCACCCTGAATCACGGTCGGTCGGCCTGAACGGAAGTTAAAGCCACGTTCTGCACCTGCTCTTGCATTGCCACATGCCAAGGGGACACCCCAGGAAATCGGGCAGTTATGTTATGTCACAGTTATTCATCCATCAACGCTTCGATCTGGTCGATATCTGTCTGTAATTAGTTTCTCAAGTACCCCATCTGTGCCACTTTCTTTTCTACTCTCTCACTGCCCTTTTTTCGGCAGGTCGTGCTGCAAGTCAGTGCAAAGCATGCAGGAAGCTTCCGAGCAGTGGTGATCAGAGAGCAGGGCCCTGCGAGTCTCTCCATCGATCCGCTCATCATCTCGCCCTTTGCAGCGGAGGAGTACTTGGAGGTGAGGCGGGCGGGTTATGGTTCTTGACAATTCTAATCCGGGGGGGCCTCCCATACTGTCCCACCATTCAAGCCTCACACGATGGGCTGCAAGCAATGGGCTGCAAGCAATGGGCTGCAAGCAATGGGCTGCAAGCAATGGGCGCAAGACTCTCCATCGACCCCCTCATCATCTCGCCCTTCGCTGCTGAGGAGCATTTCGAGGTGAGGAGGATCGATGGTTCTTGACTTGACTATGGTATTTAGTGGTTCCTGAGCCTGCTCCAACTCTCAAGTCTCAGGTGGTGGGCTGTGAGGGGGGTCCTGCAAGCCTCTCCATCGACCCGTTCATCATCTCGCCCTTCGCTGCTGAATAATATTTTGAGGTGAGGCGGATGCCTGTGGGGCTTGACAGTGTGGTGCTCAAAGGGTGCAGGCATTGTTGGTAGGGAAGGTGGGCACGAGCAGTGCAGGCATGGGAGGGCCCAGGTATGGCATGGCAGCCGCTCATCATCTCGCCCTTTGCAGCTGAGGAGGATTTCGAGGTGAGGCAGAAGGCTGTTGCTTCTCGGGCGGGTTTCCGCTGGCATAGTAGTAGTGGTGACAAGGGCGATGGGGTGGTAAGCTGTGAACAAGCACGGCCCTGCCAGTCTCTCCATCAACCCGCTCGTCATCTCGCCCTTTGCAGCTGAAGAAGAGTACCTCGCTCGATTCGAGGTGAAGCGCCATTCAGGATATGGGCAGTGGTAAAGACCTCCCTGGCCATCATGATCATCATGATCATCATGATCATCATGACATCATGACACCACTCCCCAGGGGACTCATCACACCACTCACTTTCCCCCCTGCCTGTCATCATTTCCCCCCTTCCAGAGGTGCGAGCTGTTGTGTATGGCCAGTGGTGAGGAGTCCTTGGGCAGCATAATGGGAGCAAGGACCTGCACCACTCACCTCCCTGCTTTTCTTTTCTCCATGCGTTGATCTCCCCTCTATGCATGCGTGCCATGCAGAGGCGCCAGTTGTTCAGCACATGGACGATAGTGAAGAGCCCCATGGGCATCATGATCTGCTTCGTGCTCCACTCACCACCTTGCCGCTTCCTCTCCCCCTTGCCGCCTTGCCACCATGCGTCCAGAGGCAAGAGCCATTCAGCATATGGACAGTAGTAAGGAGCCCCATGGTCCTCCTGATGGGCTCGCACCACCCACTCGCTTCCCTGCCTCCTACCCCCCTGTGATGGTGCTAAACCCTGGGCTTGTACTTGTTCCATTGCAGAGGCGTGTGCCTATCAGGATATAGTGCGGAGCCCCATGGGCATTATGACAGGCTTGCTCCACTCACCCCTCTGCCTTTCCCTTTCCCCTTGCCACCTGCTTCCCCCTGCCATGCCACCATGCGTCTGGAGGCGCGAGCCATTCAGCATATGGACGATGGTGAGGAGCCCCATGGGCATCATGATCTGCTTCGTGCTCCACTCATCCCCTTGCATGTGCCTATCCCCCTGGCCACCATGCTTCCCCCCTGCTTGCCCTTATCACCCACCAGAGGCGCGAGCCATTCAGCATATGGATGGTGGTGAAGAACCCCCATGGGCATCATGATCATTGCACTCCATCCGCCAATCCCTCTGCGTTCATTCCTGCAGCTAACCCCATTCTGCCTGCCCTTCACACCACATGCAGAGGCGCGAGCCATTCAGCATATGGACAGTGATAGTGAGGAGCCCCATGGTCCTCCTGATGGGCTCGCACCACCCACTCGCTTCCCTGCCTCCTACCCCCCTGTGATGGTGCTAAACCCCGGCCTAGGCCTTAATCCCTTGCAGAGGCGTGTTCCTAGCAGGATATGGACAGTAGTAGTGCGGAGCCCTGTGGGCATCGGGACGGACTTGCTCCACTCAACCACCTCCCTTTCCACTCCCCTCGCCACCTTCTTTTCTTCTGCCGTGCAATTTTTCTTTGCAGAGGCGCCAGCCGTTCAGCATATGGACGATAGTGAAGAGCCCCATGGGCATCATGATCTGCTTCATGCTTGTTGTCATGGTCGTCCTCCCTCGCCTCGCCGACTCCATAGGTGAGTTCCTCTCTGCCACTGGCGTACCCGTTTCTAGGATGCTGACCTCTGGCATACCCATTCGTACAACACCTTAAGCTCATCACTCGTCGTTATGGTCGTCCTGCCCCGCCTCGCTGACTCCATAGGTGAGTGAGTGGGTGATGCACATATGAGTGGGCTATTGCGTTGATGGGTCATGCATTTAAGGTAATCTCTCATCCTCACGGTCACCCTGCCCTGCCTCGCTGACTCCATAGGTGAAATCCTCGTCCTACCATCCTCAATTTACTCATTCTCACCACACCTCTAGCTCCTCGCTCGTCGTCATGGTCATCCTGCCCCGCCTTGCTGACTCCATAAGTAGGCTGATATGATTCGTACTCTGCTCTAGCATACCAAATTCGTGCATATTAATTCATACCACCCCTTACGCTCATCTCTCATCATCATCGTCATCCTTCCCACCCTCATTTCTTTCTTCTTACTTGTCTCTCTCTCCCTTTCAGACCCAGAGGAGATGAAGCAGATGCAAGAGCAGATGCAGCAGCAGCAGGTGCCATCACTTTCAGGCCTCTTGAGTGGTAACCGTTAGGGGTATATGATGGGGTGATGAGTCATTCCCCTGAGTGGTAACCACAATAGTGGTAGTGGTCCATGAATGTGGTCCATGAGTAGTCACTGAGATGACCCTTTTTTTTGTCATGTATTGCTGTGTATACTTGGTTACCTGCGGGACTTCAGATGTGCTCAGTAGGTGTGAAGGTGTTTATTTAGTCCCCTTGCTGTGAGCTCGGACACAAATTCGTTACAGTGTTGACACACCCTCCGCCCCACCAGATCCCACCCCACCCTCCTTGGCTGACTTTGCGTACCTTGGTGTTGGTTCTTGAGACCTCATTGGGGGTCTCAACCTAGGATTGCAGTTGGGCCATTGCTAGTTAGGTAGCCTCCTGATGCTCAAATCCGTCTGTATCTTTTGTACACATATACATTGTAAATAAAGTGGTTAGGATACTCGGCTCTCACCCGAGATACCCGGGTTCAAGTCCCGGCAACGGAATTTGAGTCCTATTTTAGGCCGAGTGCTGAGTTTGAGCATGTAACCTTTTTGGTTTTCCTTGAAGTTGCGTTTAAAAACGAAAGGTAGATAAAACAGACGATTGTGTTTCCCATATGATACCGTCCGTTTATCAAATTCGCACTGTGAAGTACGACATTTTTGAATCCTCACGAAACTCTATCATGTTACGCGTCTAGGCGACTGTCATTTTTTTTTGCACAGACGGAACTGCAACAAGTTTTCACAATGTTAGCAAGTTTTCGCGCTCCAACCAAAACCCACCATTTTGCAACCGGTTGCGCTCCAACCAGGCCCTCATTGCAGGAATTTTACCCTAATTTTCAGGGTATTTTTAGGTCCCAACCCTGATGAGAAAGTTTTTTTATTTATGCCTACACTGTTTTTTCAGCTAACTTTCTTTTACCAGGCCTGAAATGTCAGCCTACTTTTGCTAGGGGACCCTGATTCGAATCATACAGTTGTGGGGCCATCTCTGTTAGCGAAATTGCCTAGATTCGATGAATCTGGCAAAAATTTCGCCCAAAATTTTCCCGTCACCGTCAATCACGTGAAACGGCATCTTAGGGCTGTTTCCTACACCCCCTTTATCTACATGTCAAACTCGCCTCATACACCATTTGTTTGGTTTAAACTGACTCTTCATTTCACGTCTTGTTGATTGGCGAAGTGCGAGACAGAAAGCGTGGGGTGACGTGGCACTGCGCAACGCTCCCGAAAGGTTGTTGAGGAACATTCCCGACTGTTGCTTGCGAGCGCTTGTCTGATTGGTGCTGTTCGCCAGGAAATCGTAATTTGAAATGAAAAAGATGGCATCGGCTGTCAAATGTTATATCTGATACAGTTTGTTTAGGCTGTAGTGGGGTAGTTACTATGGGGTACAGTAAGTTTAGGGTTTCCTACTTGTACCCAACTCTTTCCTATTTCAATCACTCTTGTTCATTATCACATGGTATCACGAGCCTAGGTTAGCCACCTAGGACCGCTTACTACTACGGGCCCACTATTCCGCTAGACGCGCCCTCGTGCGCCCTACCTTTCGTGCGCCCTCGTGCGCCTTTCTCTGCTCGTGCGCCCTCGTGCGCCTTCTTTCTGCTAGTGCGCCCTCTGTCAGAATGTTGTTATTCTCTAGCCTGCAGTGGGGTACTCTATAGCGAGTACAACCCCTTAGGGTTTCCTATATGTATCCTACTGCTTTCTAGTGAACCCCTCCTTTCCTCAATTCTCTCTTGCCTAGCTAGGGTTTACCTAGCTATGGCTCCTCACTATGCTTACGATTCTCACATGCTATCAGAGCGGTTACGCTCCTGGCCTGTGGGCCCACCTACTTCCGCTGCCCAACTGTGTGTCGCGCGCCCCGTGGCGCGTGACCTACGCATTTTCTTCCCGCCACGCGCTCGGGGCGCGTGGCGGTTTTCTGCCCGCCGTGCGCCCCGAGGCGCGCGGCGGTTTCCTGATTCGTCGCGGCGCCTTGGGGGCCTGCACGCAGGCCCCCCCTCCCGTCGCCTCGTGGCGGCGCTTTGGGGGCCCGCGAGCCGGCCCCTCCCGTCGTTCCGTCGCGGCGCCTTGGGGGCCCGCACGCAGGCCCCTCCCGTCGCCTCGTCGCGGCGCTTTGGGGGCCCGCGAGCCGGCCCCTCCCGTCGTTTCGTCGCGGCGCCTTGGGGGCCCGCACGCAGGCCCCTCTCGTCGACTCGTCGCGGCGCTTTGGGGGCCCGCGCGCCGGCCCCAACCGTCGCCTCGTCGCGGCGCCTTGGGGGCCCGCGCGCGGCCCCTCCCGTTGCCCGTCGAGCCGCCCTCGTGGGCCCGTGCGCGGCCCCCCCCTCCCGTCACCCGCCGTGGCGCCCTCGGGGGGCCCGCGCCCTGCTTCTTCGTGGCGCCCTGGGGGCCGCGCTCCTCCTCCCCCTCCCTCCTCCCTTTCACCTGCAGCAGCCGCCCCTGGAGCAACCCGCACCTGCAGCAGCCGCCCCTGGAGCAGCCCGCACCTGCAACAGCCGCCCCTGGAGCAGCCCGCACCTGCAGCAGCCGCCCCTGGAGCAGCCCGCACCTGCAGCAGCCGCCCCAGGATCAGTGCGAGCCGCCCCTGCGGCAGCCCGCGGCCTGTCGGTTGGGGTGTTGGTGAGGAGTGTGGGGGTGGCAGTTGTGGGGGTGTCGGTTGTGTGCGCCGTCCCCTACTCCTCCTCCTCCTTCGTCTCCCACTGCTGCAGCTGTCGCTGAGGGGGGTGGATGTGTGGGAGCCTGGGGTTTAGGGTTTAAGGGGGGTGCCGTGGGAGTGGAGCTAAGGTTTGAGCAGGGGGTGTATGTCGAGGGTGTGGGGCAGTTGGAGGAGGTTGTGTGAAGGTAGCTGTCGTGTCGCCTGCAGCGCCTGTAGTCCGTCGCCCTTGCTTCGGTAGCCAGTGAGCCTGTTGCACCAGTCGCCAGTGGGTCCGTTGCTCCTGCCGCTCGTCTATAGCCGCGGAGCCAGTTACTCCAGTAGTCCGTCGCCCTTGCTTCGGTAGCCACTGAGTCAGCCGCTCCTGTGCCCGTGCCTCTGCAGCTTCAGTCGTTGCCTCCCATCTTCTCTCCCTCCACAGTTCCTCCTCCTCCTCAATTGCCCGCTGTGATTAACTCTAGCTTTGCTCACTATTGTGAACTCCTGCTCTATGCCTGCTTGCTCATTCAGCTGCTAGGAGTTCCTTCTCGAGGAGGTCGACAGTGAGGTCAGTGGGGGAGAGAACGAGAAAGTGGTCCCTGACAGCGCGAAGAGAGTCAGGGAGGCGAGTGACCAGGTGGTAGAGGGTGAGGTACATCGGGGGGGGGTTCTTGGCGAGGAAGTCGGGGGGGAGTGCGGCACGGTAGCGGAGATCACTCGTACGGAGGTGAGTGATGAGGTCAGCTACAGTGGTAAAGGCAGACAGATCGGGGAAGAGGTAGGGCAGTGAGAGACGGCCGATCGCAGCAGTAGCAGGGGAGGAGTAGCGGGCAACTACAGCGTCGTACAGTTCCTTAGCGGTCTTATGCTGGCCGAAGTGCTCGCGCTCATCTAACGGCAGGTGGCTGCGAATGGCTAGGCGAGCATGGGCGTCACGAGTGTGCCACTGTGAGCGAGTAGTACTGTCAGCAGTAGTAGCAGGTGCGGGAGCAGCGCCGGACGTGTGGTCATAGAGGGAAACATCGTCCTTGGTAGTGACCTGTAGGTACAGGTGAAGGTCATCAAGCCAGACATCGAACTTAATCGGGCGGCCCTCGGCGTCAAAGGTGAGAATAGTGGGATTGGGCATAGTGGCAGTAGTAGGAGTAGCAGTAGCAGTAGCAGCAGTAGCAGTAGCAGCAGTAGCAGTAGCAACAGTAGTAGCAGTAGGAGCAGTTGCTGCAGGTAGGGCGGCGCGACTCGGTCAGGGCGGCGCGGCTCGGGCGGCGCGACTCGGGCGACGCGACTCGGGCGACGCGGCCCGGGCAGGTAAGGCGGCGCGACGGCGGGCCTAGGCTCGGTGCGCGGCGGCGCCTAGGGTGCAGCTGGCGCGGGCCGCGGCTGCATTCTAGCGGCGGCTAAGCGCGAGCTGCAGCAGCCGACGTGCGATCGCCGCGGCGCGCTGGCTGCGACCTGCGGGCGGGCGGCTGTGGGTCGCGCGTCGGCCTAGGGGCGAGCGAGGCCTACGTGCGACGGCCTGCTGGGGCTCGCGAGAAAAAAATCGGGCCGCCCTAGGCGGCGGTTTTCCTACGCGCGCTAAAACGGCGGGGCCGCGCTCGGGCTGCTAGCGGGCTGCACACGGGCAGCGTGAGGGGAGAGCGCACGAGGGCGCACTAGGGGAGAGGCGCACGAGGGCGCTAAAAAAAAGGGCGCACGAGGGCACCTCTAGCGGAACGGTGGGCCTGGTCTAGAACCTAAGCTCTTAATACCATGTCAGAAACAAGAAGTGATTGAACTATGAAACATTGGAGTACAAGTAGGAAACCCTAGAGTTGTGTACCCCTTAAAGGCTAACCCACTATAGCCTACACAGCTATAACACATATATAATGTTTGACACGATCTTCATCGAGAACAGGCACACCATCGCCCGCACCGTGCAGACCTTGAAGTTTCACTTCTGCCTTTTTTTTTTTTGCAGGCATCTTGGCCGAGCTCAACATTTGAACCTGTTTTTTCAGAGGCGCAAGGTGGGATTCCGTAAAAAAATGGCATCGCTAGAATGCGCTTTTGTGCCAGGGTTACCTAGTTTGTTGACGCTGTAATTTGACATGGACTTGTTTGATTGTATTCAACACCCCACCCCCCCCCCCCCTTTCCTCCCCCCCCCCCCAAGGTGGACGTCACCATTGTCACGCAGGAGGTGGACCGCACGGTGTCGTACATTCAACACCGCTACATCGACTATGAAGACAAGTTCGGGGAGAGGCTGAGCCCATAGCTGTCGCCTTTCCTGGAACGACACAAGGACGGAAAACGTGAGATGAAAGTGGAGGGCGTGGATTCCCAGCTAGCTGCGAGATCGTTCTCAGCGAGGAGCCCATCGCTGGCCACAAGTTC